CCCCAAAACCCCAAAACCCCAAAACCCCAAAACCCCTCAATTATTCAATATTCTTGAATTTATTAAATTTATTACCAAAGAAAATGAACCAGGACATTGATAATATCGATGAGAGTCACAGAGATGTTTCTTCTAAGCAGACATCCTTGAGTATCCATCAGTAAGCCTAAGATTCTTTGTTCCCTTATCAAAATTGATGAACATTTTTATTAAGTCTAGAAATATTATCTTTTCTAACTCCAAGAACTACTATTCCTTCTGTAATTCTGAACTATTTAACGCATGTAATAGGCAGTTCAAAAAGAACTTATCAAGCTTAGAGAATAAGTCTGAGAAATCAGGTGAAGCTTCATCCTTTCTTCAAAGCCTGCGGTAAGGACTTACTGATAAGTTAGAAGAAATGAACCTTTAAGAAAAATTGAAAGCTGTATTCCTAATGGTAAATTATATAATTTTCTATCTAATTTTATTTCAGATAGTAATATAACTGAGAATGCTTGATTACCTCCCATTATACCTAAGTTGAGGTACAAAGACCATCAGGGATTCCCTACGATAGGACGAGTTAATATGTCCACCAAAAGGCATCAAAGCCCTTACTCTAGTATGCATAAGAATAAGATCACCCTCGAAAACAATCTCAGAGGGAAGATAAACTCTGGAGAGGCAAATATTGATCAAAAGGCTGATACAGAAACTCAAGAGAAAACAAAGAATAGAAACCATTCCTACTCAGTTGATGCAACCTGATTCAAGAAGAACCTTTCCCTCCGAAGGACGGAGAGGAATAAAGAACCTCTGATAGTTAACGAGGATATCTCTCTTGATGGAACCCCTAAAAGAAAAAGAAGAATAAATAAAGCGCAGCAAAGTAAACAACTTCTCTTATTATTTAGCTAAACGAAAACAAATAGTCAATATGTCTCTAATAAATCCTGTAACCAATAGGCTACCAGAAGAAACAGATATGGATAGATACAAAGAGGTTAGAAACTCTGTAGAAAAATATATAAAGAAGTTTTCTCATCTTATCCCAAACCTTAAGAAGAAATAAATATGAACTCCTCACTGATATTCTTGGTAAAGATAAATACGAAGAAATCAAATCCAAGTTAAAGAGCAAAAATCCTGCCAAAGAGGCCAAAAGCAGAGATCGCATGCAAAGACCTCTAGGTTCTCTAAAGATAAATAAAACTACTGATGGTTCACCTAAAAACAATATTAAGCGTCAAAAGAAAGCAGAATTATTGCTTGATTCTTCTGCCAAATCAAAAATGCCAAAACAAAAGCCAGAGAGTAAAGAGGAACTAGTCACCTATAAAGGAGCTATTACTGATAAATACATCAACTTAGGAGGTCTAGGGTTTAACAAAGACAAGTCATGGGATGTTGCCCATGAAAGACGCAGAAATATGCTCAATTTCTCTCATAAAGTAAATGGTAAAGCTTAATCATGACTGAATATAGAGTCTCAACTGAATAAGGGCAATTCTTCAAGCTTAATACGTCAAAAGTCTTTGAAGGAGAGAAACGAAGTTTTGAAGACTCTTAGACAAAGAAGAAATAAAGCCTTGGACTATGCTAAACATATCAAAAAGCCAAATCCTCCAACCAACCCTATCTCCCAACCAGAGCAACGCTTTATCAAATACGACAACAAAGAATACCTCCTTGAGAACCAGAAAATAAAAATGCTCTTCTTCTAATTTTCCCTTCAAACCCTCAACACAACTCCCTTAAAAAGGGGTTTTGGGGTTTTGGGGTTTTGGGGTTTTGGGGTTTTGGGG